TTTGTACTGGTTGTTGGCTTAACTAAGAACTAGCAAAACAATAAGGAAGAAGTGGAAAGTAGGTCAAACAAACTAATAGCTATTTTCTTATATATATATATATATACGACTGGAAATCAGTCAGATTAATTTATAATACTGGAAATTATGTCAAAAGAAAAATTGTAGCATGTTCATTAATCCAAATATTAATAAACTTCAAACATATGTTAAGAAAAATAGAATTAATTGTTTGACCAGTCGCAACATGTTTTTTTATGTTCTGCAGTCTTGTTAAGCTCAAACATTCAAATAACAACGTATTCAGCTTTTTTTATTATCTAAATCAGAAGTTCACTTCTTGTAGTTGTTATACTTGATGATGCCAGGCTAAGCTAGTTAAACTTTGTAACTATATATATTATACTCTGTATATACAACAATAAATGAGTTTTAAATTTTACATAACAGGGTACTTTGTTATTATTTAATTTCAACAACTGTATACAATATAAAACTGGCTTCAATCTTAATCATACTCAAAGAATAGCTAAATAATTAGTAGCTTTACCAAAAAGTTCCACTAAAACCTTGGTTTAACTAAAGATAACTATTCAAAATATATATCTTATATTATTAGTACAGCTGACTTATATATTCAACTTACTTTTAGTGTTTTCCTCATTATAATTAAAGCAATAACCTATAACACACAGGGCAAACTTTATTTCAACATCTCATTGTTAAGAAGAGAGATTTTTTTATTTTATTTAAGCTCTGAAGCTTACGAAATAAGTTACCATTACAATTCTTACACGATAAAGAATTGGTTTAAATTCATTCTGTGTTTTGTAGTTAACATGTAAGCATATTCTTGTTTTCAGCAATGGTATTTTTTTAAATAAAACATTAAATGTTCCCTTGTTTTTTATTTCATTTCATACCTTAAAGCACACATCCCATTTAACTTTCTTTTTTTTTTCATGAAATCACCATCAATGAAATAATTTTAAAAAGTAAGATCAAGGTTTATGCACCATGCATAACCATAAATAAAGGATACCAGAATATCACCTGGTTAATACCTCTTTAAAGACCATTTCACATATTTCTCACATAAACGTGCCCTATATTATATGACCTAACTTTCACAGAATAGTAAGAATCATCTATTTCTGATTATATTTTAACACGAAACATAAATATGACATTAACAGAAAATAGTTAAAAGTAAAGGTTAAGTTTATATGTTTATCAAGTATTAGCATTATAAATAATTTTCAGATGATACCATTCTTCACGCTCGTACACAGCCATATTATACCCTTCATATTTAATACAACAATTAACCAAAGGCTACTGATATAAATTAATATAAGAACCATACCAAGTTTACCTTTTACAAAACTATCTTCATCAGAGCTGCTGGTGTCCAAATGATCAAAGTCTATTTGAATGTGAGATCTCTACAGAGGAAACAAAAACATCACAATGAGGATGTTTTTTTGCTAGTATATTTTAAAGTAAAGGTTCGTTAATCACATTGAAAAAGAAGCAACAAAAAGCTAACGTAATTAATTCAACTAACAGCTTTACTGTTGTAAGATATATTTTCACTACTTTAATTTGGATGTTTGCTAGAAAGTGTATGATGTTAAAATCAAATAAGTTTATAAAAGTAGTCACAGAATCCTAGAATTCTCTTATATGTTAACAACTGAGAAACTTAACAAAATATCTAGAAATAAGGCTATATTATAAGTATGAGAATAAGTGAAGCATTGAGACCAGTTTTTCAGTTAGTAGAGTGCCAGTCGTTCAGTGAAGCACTTAGTTTTCAGTTTGTTCAATGATCGAGAAGTGAAGTATTCAGATCAGCATTAACTATCACATGTATTCAGTTACTTGATCAATTAATGTTTATTTGTATGTTGGTCATAGTACCATTAACAAATAGAGTTTTGTTGAAAGTGACAATATTATTGATGAACTTATGCCTGCAACTATGTACAAGTGATAGTAGCCTGTAGCAAATGTTAAGGAAGAAATAAATATAGACTGGATTTGGCATTATTTTCACCAAATAATTAAAAAGAATCCACCCAATAAAAGAACACATTACACCATTATGATCATTTTTAATAATTCTCTCTCATCTGTTATCACATGAATAAGATTTTTTTGAGTGTGTACTGCTATTAGGTAAATTTACTTCCACTTTTGAAATGTAGGTAATTAGAAGTTGAGCCACATAGTTTACAATATGTAAATCTATAACCAGAAAATCATTTGTCATTGACTTGCTAACCAAGAAAAACCAACAAGTGGCCACAAAAATCAAGACAAGATGTAAACCAGATACAACAAGAAACCAAACATCATGATACAGAATATCATTTTGTGTACTAAAAGTGTACTTAGCAAACAAACTGTTTACTTGAAGATACATTAATTAGATAACATCTAGCCATATTTAGAATTCTCTTTACCTTTTTAATTGTTTTTACAAGTCGAGTCCAACGTTCCCCAAAAGATGACTTTTCAAGCTCAATAATGACACATTTATCACTGGTATTGGCCTTTGAACCATTTGGATTTATAGAAGCAAACAGTTCTTCATCAAATCTGTATAAACGGCCTTCCCATTGTGTACTGTAAAAGGAAAAACAGAATTTACAAAAGAACTATATATCATCATTCAGTTAGGTATAACAGAAAATACTAATTATAAAAAATGAAAATTTCTGTAGCAGGACTCTGGATAATCACAAGCCTGATGGCTAGGAACAAAGATTATCACAAGCCTAATAGCTAAGAACAAAGATTATCACAAGCCTAATAGCTAAGAACAAAGATTATTACAAGCCTAATAGCTAAGAACAAAGATCATCACAAGCCTAATAGCTAAGAACAAAGATCATCACAAGCCTAATAGCTAAAAACAAAGATTATTACAAGCCTGATAGCAAAGAACATAGATTACCACAGACCTGATAGCTTAGGACAATTTAGAAATAGCAGCTGCTGATCTGAAACACTAGTCTCATGAGCCTAGTGGATTAATACTGAGTAACTGTTTGGTTTTTAACTTTGATATACTAATACATTTGATTTGTTGTTTTTCACAGTGTAACAGTGATATTAATTTCTCAAACTTAATATGTTCAAAATATTTTTTCCAAAAGCAGAAATAAAAAGTAATTTAACAGCCAATCAGAAAATTATTTTTTACTTTCTTTTGATCAAAATATTTATTCTGCTCAGTTTGTCGATTCCAAGACTCTACAATTGCAGCTTTTTGAATACGTGTATATTATACTTACAAAATTTAATATATATCTAACTATTTATTAAACAGTTTAGATACTGTTCGGTTATTATTTACAATATGTAAATTTTTAACATTTTAATGTTTTATAGACGCATTTGTAGATGCAAGTCTTGAAAACAAAATACAGTGTGCCAATGTTGTATTTTAACTTGCATTTAAAAATATATATATAATCACCCTCAACTGTAACAGTTCAGTTATAATTTCAATCTCTAATTTTATCTTCTGATTGTTTAAACAATAAGAACTTTTTTATTTTCCATTTTGATCACTTTTTTTTAAAAGACACATCAGTTACAATTACATTTTCAACTTTTATAGGGGATTTTTCATTGCATGGTGGTCTATAACTTTAACACCTATTAGGTAGTACTACAGAATTTAAACTTATAATAAAGGTTGACTATTGTGTTTTATTTAGTAATTGGAATTCCATGTATAAACTTTAACAATTGCATGTTATACTGTGCTTGATAATATGAATTAGCATTCTTAATTACACATTTTTTATCAAAATACCTTTTACAGTTTTTTACTTCTTCAAAAATGTATCTGTATTCAACATGCTGACAGCTTGTTTCATACTTGAGTATCTGGTTTTGTTAGCTTAGCCATTTATTTGAAACCTTGTGTGTAAAAACACATGGCTGTCAGTATTATTTAATACTGATCTTTATTCTATAATGTATTCTGTAATATATAACTTATGCTAAAAACAACGTGCTGTTTTGACTCGAGCATTTTAATATAAAACACAAAAAAGAAACAGCATTAGAAGAACAGAACTCACCAGAACTGAAGACGTGTGTGAGATAACGTCAAGTCGTATTCTTTCACACCTGTTAACTGAACTGTCACAATTACATGAGACTTGTTCTGCCACCAACAAATGTGTGGAGTAAAGCTGCAGAAAAAAAAGACTCTTTGTTGAAAACATTCTAAGGTTTCATTAAGAAAAAGAATTTGCGTGTAAAAACTGTTTGTGTTGAAGCAGTAAATTTTTTTAATACGCACTGTGAAGTGTAATAAAACTCACTCACATGCTCTGTTAGTATGAAACAGTGTCCAGGAATCTGTTTCATACATGTATTTTTTGAGTTTTTGTATTATATTTCGATCATCTTTCCTTTGTACCAGTCAATTTAGAAAGAAATTCAGAACTGACATACTGTGGATTTAATTATATAGTTGGACAAAAAGTTTTACGAACAATCTTAAATTTAAAACAAAAAGTCATCAGCACTTCTACTTTACTTTGCTTAAACAAAGTATTTCCATTATCGGTCTTAAGGGGAAAACACTATCTCATTTACACTTTGATGGTGCCATGCTTAAATATCCCCATTATGAGTCAAAAGGAAATCAATTTACACTTTTACGGTACAATGTTAAAAACACACTTTCTAGCTTTAACTGACAGTAGAATATACTTTCTTTCAGTCAGAGGTGTCGCTAGGCACTGGCACATGGGGCTCATGCCCTGATTTTATTTAGAGTGCCCCAAATCCCTAGTTGGTGTCTTGAAAAATCAGAATAGAAAACCATGATTAATATCATACCAAAATGCCAAAAATTTCTACACCTATAGGCCTGAGCTCCAAATCTTTTAAGTACCTAACCTCTGCTTTTCAGTTACAACCAAAAATGTTTGCAAGCTATCATTTTCCTAAACTGAAAATGTATTTCCAAATAAAGTTATCTCCACTGACACTAATAGCTATTTCTCAATCTTCATCATTGCCATCTAGCATTGTGTTTGCTTGCTCCATTCTTTATATACCCCACTCAACTGTCCTCAGCAATATCTAATTTTCAAAACTTTACACCAACCCTCACATGCCCTCTATGCAGGTACTGTATAAGCATTTTTTGCAACATATATTGTCTAGACCACTACATGTTTGCCATATTCCAGCTAACTTGATAAGCCCTGGTATTGTGTGAAAAGTCCCATGACAGATATGGTGTGGATGATATATCTCCTCTGCTTTCATTCATGGGTTCTTAGAGAAACACTTTTCTTTTCATGAACCACGACGACTCCAGATATTGTACAAAGAATACAGCCCACAGTTAAACATCCTATACCAAAAAAGCTACTGATATGTAATGGGGATCTTTTCCTGTGTTTTCTATTTTACATATTTATGAACAATTTGTTTTAGCACAAAGATACACAATGGGCCATCTGAACTCCACTATGGGGAACTGAGCCTTGAATTTTGTAGCATTGTAAGTTTGCAAACTTACCACTGACCCACTTGGGGAAAATTTACCAATGAACATAAATGGTGTTTTTTTAAACATAACCTGTTACTATATATATAGTAAACATATAATTCAAATGCTGAACATAGCTTGTATGAAACAACATAAATATAATTCACTCTTGAAGAAAATCACAATAATTTGTTTGTTAGATGTTGTACTACTTAATTCATAATTTTAAAGTGATAGAGTAGAGGAAAGGCAGATAGTCCACACCATCCACTGTCTACTCTTGTCAGACTGATGAGGAAAGACAGATAGTCCACACCATCCACTGTCTACTCTTGTCAGACTGACTAGTGGGATTTTATTATCACTTTTATAATGCTCCCATGGCACCAAAATGTGGAGCATGATTTTTTTTCTTTTTTAGTGGTAACACAACATGAACCATGGTCAACTCCATAGTTTAGCATGCTAACCACTGGAGCCACAAAATAACTTTTATAATCACATCATAAGAACAAAAAAAAAGATCAGTTAAAGGAAAGTCTCACTTTTCTTATTAGTATTACATGAATAAATTATAATAATGGTTACAACTAAAATTTATAACAAATAGCTTATTCTTATGTAGGAAAATAAATCAATAACAATAATGTTCTCTTATCTGATATAAACATAATCATTAAACAATTCTTATTAAAATATAGCTAGGAATTAACTCAATTTGCTAATTTGTGACATATAATGAAAGCTCATGTATACTATATGTCAACAGATTTAAAAATGATACAAATTAGACTAATTATTAAAAACTGTACAATATATTACAAAACCTTAAGGTCACAAACAATTACCTTTTTGTTATTCCTTCAACTGCCACCAGAGGAGGTATATCACTAGGTATTGACAAAGATGGACTGTCTTTGGATGCAGAAGGAGAAGATAATGATGGTTTAAAAGATCTTGAAACTGATGGATTATGATTTTGTTTTACAATCTCTTCTTCTTCATCTGTTGACTGAGTCAACTTGGAATTTTGCAAAATACCATCAATAAATTTCTTGGCGATGAAACCGAGGAACTTTCCAGCAGCTTCACTTTCTTCATGCAATAAGTCTTCTTCTGTACCAGAACTCTCTTTTGCAGAGTTGGTTTCACTTGACAGGTCTGCATTGAGCTGACATGCAAAAACATGAATTACACTCGGCCATCAATATCAGTATTGTAGTTGCTCATTGACAGCTATAAACATTAATACAACTTATTCTTGAATAAAAAAAAAAACAACTCCATCTAAAGCATGGTAATCTACAAAATAAACAAATGGTAAATATAGTGATAGAATTTTATCCAACTTTTGGGCTGAACAATTTTAATAGGAATGAAATCACTACTCAAAGCAATGTATTCCTTCTTCCCATAGGTTTAGCCATTTTAAACTATTCGCATATAAATAAGTTAATTTCAAAAATCACAATGCGTAATAATTAACCGATGTTTTTATTTGCAATAATGTAAAGTTTACATCATTAAGAATTTACATTTCTTCATTACGAGTGTTACTAGTAAACATTTTCAGCATTGTTTAACCGATTAATTAATTGTTTGAGTGTATAATGAATGACTCTGCTACATGTATAATAAAAGTATCCTCAATTTGAGTCTTCAGTCTTAATTTTTTTTGGCAAAGCAACTAAACTGTATTTTTTGTTAAGACAGTTATCAAAAAACAAATTTCTTACATTATTCTCTATCTTCCCATTCTGGTTAACATCACAGTTTTGCACATCTGCTAGTCTACCCCAGCCTTCTTTCACTAACTCTTCTGCAATATCGATGTCCTTCTGTGTAACGGTGTCATATAAACATACATTGTAGGTATTCAAAAGTTGGTCAATTTGTATCACGTTTAATGAGGGATATAATGTACATGTATCCTTAATTTTTCAATTTTATCATTTTATTGATTGTGTGAGTTACAATTAGGTGCAACTTATATTACAGTAACATATCTTATTCTAATTTAGTGTTAAAGCTTCTTTTTGTTGTTGCTGTTGGGAATAAACGATCTGACTCGGTGTATTTTTTATGATAGAAGAGAAGATAAAGTAGTATAACAAAAGTTTTATAATAAATCAAATCATAGCATTAATTATGTTTATACATTCCTTTCTGTTCTCAGCCTGTTTCAGACTCTCCAGCTTGCTATATTGGGAGTCGTCAAAATTTTCTGTTTAAAATTTTTATTAAGTTAAAAGTAGTAAAAGATTTAACATACTTTAAAAAGAATGATTTCCCAATTTTCTTGTGCTGCTGGTTAAAATACAAATTTTCAAGCTTTAGTTAATCGTGATATTTATATGTAAGTTATTAGATGAAAACTTTGAACACTTAAAAAATTAAGAAAGGTCCAAACATCTGTTTTTTTTTGTTTTGATATTTTTATGACAGTAATCTGTTAGCCCCTTTGCTATGAGTGATGGATTTGTATGACTCATATGATGTATATTTATGGACAGGATTGCTGCTGGACTACATACATCTTCCATCTGTAAGAATGACCAGTCATTCAGATTATTCAAACTATACTTCCCTAGTCTATCAGCCTAAATCAGTTTCTGTAATTTTATGTAAATAGCTTTGTTGTCCCACAAAGAAATCACAGTGTCATTAATTCCTAACAATTTAATGTAGAATATCCTGCTTGCAAAATAAAATTTGACATCAACATTATTCCTGCCTGTTCTCCTGTCATTTCAAAAGTGAATGTTGAGCCTTGCCTGCTTGTGCAGCTTTTCAAACACAGTGAAGGAAGCGGTCACCATAAACGGGAGACAGATGAATGCTTAGACAGACATCACAGTTCGCAATATATATAAGTGACATATGGAATAACAACATAAAAAACAAATAAAAATTTGTCAAGTAAACACTACAATAAACATAAAAAAGGAATATCTTAGCTATTAGCTTCTGGTTTTATTCTTCTACTTCTAAAGTAGCTAACAAATATTCTTTATGTAAACGTTTTTTATATTATGCTAGGTAGATAATGCTGTCATCAAATAATATAAAAATCAAAGAAATGAAGTATTTATCTGTTGACTATTGCTACGTATTCATTTTAATGTAAACACAGTACCAAAATATTTTCATTCATATACTTTTATAACATACTTCCAACATTCACCATTTTATAAGTTGTGTGTAAAAAATCCTGACACATATTTAGTAAATAAAGTACATTTAGTGTGTCACAGTGTAGAAAATGAGACACTATTATAAAATAACCTCATATGCAAAGTATAAAGAAGAGTTCTATTTAAATTACCACTAACACTACAAAACAAACCTTTATAATTAATCGTTTGTTCACATTATCATCCAGTGTTTTTTCCCAGAATGCATCACCAGCCTGCTCACTCCAACCACCGTGGGGAGGAACAAGGTTTACAAGTGAGCACTCAATAGCTTGAGCAGGAAGCAAAAGTTGTTTCTCAGTAATTCTAAAGATCTCTTTTCTTTTAGCACTACCTTCATCTCCAAAGTCCACAAAAAATAGACGCACATCATCATCATCATCATTATTCATATTATCTGAAGAATTGGACAGAATCTGCTGTACTTTTGCTCTATACCACCTATAAAACAGAGTTAAAAACATTACTTGTAAAATAGTGAGTTTTATTTCCACTTTTAAATTGCAAATTACATTAATCTCTCAACAGTAAAAACATATCTTCCTAAACTTGCACAATGAAATATAATCTGATGTATTAATCTCCTCATTAAACAAACAACACACAGTAACATAATTTTGAGGGAGCATCGTTTCTGCTGTCCACACAATACAAATAGAACCTGATCTTATTTCTAATGTCCACATAACACGCAATAAATCGATTATGATATGGTATCACTCTATTATTCACCAATTGATGTTATCTCTACTACCACTTATATACAAATAAAACAAAAAACATCTGCTGATGTATCTATCATCTTTACAACTTCTACATCCTCCTTCATTCTGCAACAAATAATTCAAGCTAGTCGTTAACTTTTCCATGGGAATGATATTGGTACTATGAGTGAAATTGACATCTAATTGTTCAAAACATAATGTTATACAACATATCAATTGATAGATAAAAACCTTGACTTTCTATTGGTTATAGGTAATATATATATAATGAAACATAAGAGAGAACTATCAACAAATTCTGAAAGAGAGGATGTGGCAGGAGGG